AAATGTCTATGTCGATATTTCAGGTTATAATCCCACCAAATTCAATTATTGACGATCTTCGCAATGAGAAAGGCAACACAAAGAAACTTATGGAAGATGTAAACTATAGAGTTGCGTGGGAGAAACACCAGAAGAGTTTGCGAGATAAGGAGGAGAAGGAAGCCGAGAAGGTATGTCATTTGGTTTTTTAATTAAATGAATGCTAAGTCTCCAAGGACCTACCAAAATCTTGTTTTGATGCTTCTCAGCATGAATAATTCAGGAACGAGTTGCATATGCATCCATTGACTGGCATGATTTCGTGGTGGTGCAGACGGTAGACTTCCAACCAGGGGATGCCAGTATGTTGTTCGAAGGCTTTTTTCTAATTATATTATTCTCATCGCAACTATTTTTTCCTTATGGTCTTGAGCAAATTTTTTATCCGTATTGTCGTACCTCCTTAAGGTAACCTGCCTGGACTATGCACACCTAAAGATGTTGGCGCTCGCATACTGCTTGAAGCTAGAAGTGAGGCTCAGAAGCAAGCTGGAGAAGCTATGGAAATGGACATGGACGAGTCAGACAGCGAAGAAGAGGGTGAACAACAGATACAGAACGAGGTCAGTCGGATTTCTTTTTTTTTTCTTTCTATCTAAATCATTGAGCTATCTGTTTCGGTTTGATTTGTTGGAAAGCTCTGATTTAGCTATTCTTGTTTTCTGGTTTAGCTAAAGTTTTGAAAACAATTTGCTAGGATTATTTGTATGTTGGATCCTACAAATTCAGGTGGAACCGGCTCCTGAGTCGACTCCAACACCAGCAGCTCCACCTCCACAGGAAGAAGCACCTCCACCACCTGCAGAGTTCTCTACACCGTTACCACCAACGCGACAAAAGGATCTTATTGTCAAGGATTACGACCCCAAGAAAGGCAAGCAATTAAAAAATTTTCTTCAATGGAGTTGAGAGAAAAGTTGTTTTAGCTGCACATGCGATGAAACGTCCGGCTGACAAATGGTTAATTTCGCCACTTACCGGAGAGAGGATTCCATCGGATAAGTTGGAGGAGCACGTGCGGTACGCGCTTATTGACACATCGCGAAACATCTCCTTGTTTTTTGACATAGAACTTGTATCCGGTACCTGCCCTTTGAACTATGTTTTCAGGTACAACACTGTCGATGCGCAATACAAGGAAGA